TAAACCCCAGACATCTAAACATCCTGGGATGTATCCATAACACTAAATCCTTAGCCTCACTGCTACAGAAGAGGCACAAGGGCAAAACATATCCCCCGTTGCAGAAAATAAATAATAGAAGATTTTATAGAATACCATAATACCTATGGCAATTGGACTAGTTGCTCCTTTACTCTGATTACAAAGGGGTCTTGCTTAGCATCCGTCACCCATTCTATACTTCAATTTCCATCTCTAAAATGGAACTGCCAATCAAGGATGGAGGTCAGTGTGAATTCTTTGAAATCATTAAGTTAATTGCATAGTTATTGTGACAGGATTAATCTGTACCGTCTCTCATTTCTGTGACTTGAGGCCTCATGAGTAAAAAAAAAAAAAAAAATCGGCATGCTCCTTTTGGCATGGCCATAAATACTTGAGATCTGGTCGTTTGCTGTGTTATAAACTCCCTTAAGAGTAGCTTAGGCATCATGAGTCATGAAGGGAAAAAAGTAAAGAAATTTAACTTGACCATGCTGGTGTCCTGGGCATTTGTTCAGGTTGCCCTGCTTATCATGCTGGACCTGACATTATCAAGGGCAAACTGCTCATATTGAACACTCTACAATACAATCTTTAGGCCAAACGGATGTGCTCAGAGTAATGCTGAAGGCCTGCCAGGTTGCTTATCACAATATCACTAACACTATAGCCACATTCCTGCCATATGTAGGCATGATTCTACCAAGAAAGGGGGACTGGATGCTAGTGAATGTGGTGTGGCTCCCTGATTCACATAACTTCTCTTTACAGTACTTCACGGGACCAGCTGCAGTATCTCTATTATCTCCAAGTCTGATGTAATTCTGTGGCATCTCCAGGCAGATTAGAAAATCTCCTGCCTGAAATTCAGGAGTGAGGCTTCACGGACCAATGATCTGATCCAGTATAAGGCAGTTTCTTTCGTTCTAATGCATGTAGCTGATGATATCACTGATTTCAGTAGAATATAAGGAAATGTTGGGCTTACCCTCTATGTAAAATCTATCATAAACTAGTTTTCTGTGAAGTTTTCTGTCTAGATGAATATATATCCAGTCTGTCGTAAGGCTTCCCAAAACAAAAGGAAATATATAATAATGAGCTATTGTACTTGGTTCTGCTGTTGAATGGGTAGACAGGTGTTTCAATCTCAAAAACTTCTTTTTAAGGCTGAAAACTCATTCTTCCCAACAAAGACAGGCCCAAATAACTGGTGTTACTATAGCAACCATACATATCTTATATTCTCAGAGTATACAACCACAACCTTTTATAGAAATCCGAAACGTCAAACCAGGGATGAAGCATTCTAAAATTAATCTTAGAAAAATATTCTCTTCTCTGCATTTCTGTCAGTTGATATAAAGATTTTTCCTCTGTTACCTTAGCACATGTAACATCCCTATTTCTATTCATATCAACTGTATAAAAGTGTAACTGTCATCAGCTAATATTTTATATGTCATGCTTGGAGGGCCATTCCCGATATTACAATGAGACAAACTCAGATATGCTACTCAATATACGCTCATTCTGAAACTCAACAAAAGTTGCATGGTTACATTTCATGAATATCAAATTTATACTTACTGCCTCTGGGCAAAAAAATGAAACAGCTAATAATTAATTTACAAAATATTAATTATTTGATATAACATCTCTCTCAATTATTGAGTGTAGAAGCTTAAAGTATCTTAAACATTTTGTGTAATTATCAAACAAACTATGATTTGCCATATTAAAATAGATATCAGAGTCCATCCAGAAACTTTATTTTATTTTATTTTATTTTTTATTTATTTATTTATTAAATTTGTATGCCGCCCATCTCCCCCAGAGGGTGACTCTGGGTGGCTCTGGAGTTAGACCCATCTAGCTGCATCTTACAGAAATTTCACAACACACATATTCAGAAAATGAATGTAGTTGAGTCCATAAAATCATCAACATTCAAAGTTGTTCATCCTGAGTGTTTTAACATCCTATCAGAAATGCAATATGGCTTATATTGTTCCATCCATTGAGGGGCACCAAATCAGATTAACAGATGGTAATTAAATTTAACAATATATCCAATATGATTTATTATCCCATGACTGTCTAAATGTACTGAACATAGACAAATAAAATAATTTGGCACATTCTTTGAATCAGAGACTTAATATTCTTACTTTAAGAAAATTTATGTAATTGCTCACATTCAAATGATTTGTGAAGTTTGAGATTTTGAGTACACATTAATTGGAGTGCAAAATTATGACTCCAATTATGGAACCATTTTCAAAATTAAATGTATGCTATTGCCAATATATCATATTAAAATACATAGGGTTGGACCCAAATATACTCATATGTGGAACAAACCCACTGTAGTTAATTAGGACTCAAGTCATATTGATTTTAAGTCTAAGTTGAAACCTTGGAGTAGCAACTTCTGAGCTGGCTAGTAATCCAAGCATTTTCATTTTAAAAAGTCAGCATAATTTTATATTAAATGTTTAAACTTTTTTCTCATTTTATGGGTTAAATCCAGTGTTCTTTTCAGATGGAACATTTACTTCCTTTCGACAAGAAACTGAGATCCAGCAGAAGCTGCCACTGAAAATGGGAAGTGTCTTCTTCTGATACCCTGTATCACTTCCCAGTTTTGATAAATCCCCCCGGTTGTCTAGAACAGTTTTCCAGAAGCTGCAGAGAAGAGGAGGAATTAGCAAGAATTGTTTCTGCTACCCCGCCAATGATCTGTGAACAAAATATTATCTTAATTATATAAAAGATGTTTCGTTCATGCAGTAAAAAAATAAAAGCAGATCTCTTCCTTCTGTATTAATGCAGGAGCATTAGATCATCTTAAACCGACTGTAACTCCACCAACAATGAACTCAAGCCAGAATCAGGCGTCCATGAGGTTTTGGCCCCAGCGTCTGCCAGTATAAGAAGCAAGGTCCAAAGCATTTTTTGTGAGATAGACATATTAGTCTGTACTGATCCATTCATTTGTCACAGAACATTTGGTCTCCTATGAATCCCCACCAAAGGCGGCAATGGGCATAACCCAATGGTATTTAAAAATAGCACCATGAATGGTTTCAGGACAAAGAACTACTTCTTATATTTTTTCATACTGTTACTTAAGGTACAGTCTGACAGATATGGCTGAGATCACTGGTGACAACTGGTTACAGACCTATAAAATTGGTTCTGTTCTCATGCGACAGACATTTAAATCTTACAGAAGAGCTGTCAGGTGAACTGACAGAAAACTGGTGAACATACCAACTGCTCCTATATTAAAAGGGAACCTAAAGTTGTTTGGATTTTGTGTTAGCAAAAGAGCTTCATTTATATGGCCGGCTTTTTTTGCTTTTTTTCTGGTTGTTTTTTTTTTCATAATTAAATATATGATATCAGCATAAATATGGGAATTGACTCAGCAACACATTAGGGAAATAATCACACCATAGGAATAATTACTTACTATCTGAACTTTTTAATGCAACTGGAGTCCACCACTTGTTGAGCTTGAGAAGCCCTACTAAACTGATTAATTGGGCTTTGGCTGCACAGAGGACATCACTGATGTTTAGGGATTCTTTATTTCATTTTATTTATTTTGCAACAACAAAATTTAGCAAATGAAAGCGCAAATTTCCCAGTGTCTGTTTTCCCCCAATAAAGATGTTAGAATCAGCATCAATTTCATCATCTCTTAAGGTGAAAATAAGTTATTATGAAACATAGAAACAAATACACTTCCTTTGTCTATTTCAAATTCAAGCATCTGGAATATTTTTATAATTCAGTTCTTGTGCTATTAAATCCATTGCTATGTCTGAAGACAACACAGAATTGGACATTTTGTCCATTTCAAAGCACTGACAGGTTAAACAAAGAGTGAGAAAGGAATGGTAAAAACGGGAGCCAATCCTAGTCCTTCAGAAAATATTTAAATCTGTCAGTCTTCCTGGGACTGCAAAGATATTAGCATCCACTGTTGCTGTTTATAGGTTAAAAGCCTAGATGTTCAGCCTAGTCTGAATCATGAAGTGATCCTTACACATCCACAGAGGTAATCTCTACCACTTTCCCCAGAAAAACAAGAATCAACATATGCATTTAAACTAAAAGCAAGCATCTGTGTAAGTGTGCATGCACAGGCATGCAAACTCATGGGTTTTAAACAACTCCAACTGTTTTACAGAACAGAACACAAGAGAGATGCACACATCAGTCCCCTCCTATGTATTCACCCTCTCCAGTCTTTCTACAACCTCGCTTCCTCTTAAGCCCAGAGTTAAGCCACTCACCCACCAAGCTTGGAGTGCTACTCCATTGTTAATAGGGAAGAAAAACATTTGAATGTCTAGTCTCCCCTAAGCACTGTTATTTACCAGGACACCCCAATGGGAGTCCACTGCAGTAAGATTTCATCCCACCTAGCTGTCAAGAGACATTTGACATTGAGGAAGCAGGAGTGGATCTTCTCTGGGTGTATCTACTGCTCTGTTTACTGGAGACAAAGATCACCAGAAGTGACAAAGGAAGCCAGCATCAAGATAAAAGAATCTGCCTCCCACAAGACCTATTATCCCAAGACAAGTCTGTATCAGAAAGACTAAAAATAGTGTGTATGGGGAGAAGTGATGTCACATTTTTGTTTTCTGTTTTGTTTTGCTTTTTTTCAGTTAGACAAGTTTCTCCTTCTCCACCTCCCCACCCCTCACCCTGCAGTCCCCAAGACTGTAGTAACACTGACCATCTTCCAAGACAGAAAAGTCAACAGGGAAAGAAGGGCAGAGCTGCAATTAACAACAAAGCCTCCCCCCCTCCCCAAATCTCAGCTAAATCCTCTTCTTTTTCTCAAGCATCAGATGGCTGGGAGAATAACAAGCACAAATACACTCGCGAAGGCAGATAGGGACAAACATTGCATGTATTTATTTATTTATTTACTGAAAAAGTGAAAAAGCAACACCAACCTTGAGGATCCCAGTTCACCTGTTTTCTTGGAGTCTCGATTGGAAATTTCATTGCTTTCTTTGCACAAGGAGAAGGGAAGGATTAAATGAATTCCCAATATTTTTTTTTTCCTGCCTCAGTGCTGCAGTCAACAAATAAATTAATTTCGGGTCAGAGGGAAGACGGCGCCTTTCAAGAGAGGAAGGGAAAAATAAACTAGTGGCTGCCAGGCAAAGATAAAATACACGTGAAAACAGGGAAGGGAAGAAAGGAGTGTAGTTCTGAAGAGCAAGTGGAAACGGTGGCAAATGCCAAAGTGAGCTTTGGCATAACTGAGAAAGGCAAAAATAGCCCGGGAGAGAAAGAGGGAAGTCTGATTCAAGGCGCTTCCTGGTTTTATATGGGCTCCAAGAGCAGTTGCTGAGTCCTCCTGTCCTTTTGCAGATGCTCCTCGGTTGCCCACTGCAGCATTACACATTGGGCTGGCGGCGCACACGTGAACGCGTCCTTCAGCCAGATGCAGAGCTGAGAGTGCCCGGGAATCGCGCCAGTCAGCCACTCAGGCAAGCCTCGCCTGCCAGCCAGGCTGCTGTGGGCTGCTAATACGTCTGGAGAATGCATTGAACAAGCTCATCTCCGCCCCACCACTAGGCAACCCCGCAGTTGCCGGAGAGGACCAAGAACCTCGCTCGACATCCATGCATGGCGCGCGAGAACTGGAGAGAACAGGCAGAGCTTGGAACGGGGAAAAAGAGAAGTCATCCGCTCGCTGAAGGGAGTTGCGGCCACGCGGCTTGTGGGAGGGTGCGGGAGATCATCCTATATGAATGCGGCGGCAGGAGAAGGTGCAAACTAGGCGGAGGAGGAAACACAGACTCGCCGCTTCGGCTTTAGTCCGGCTGCTCTCAGAGTTCCTCGGGAGCACCTTGCTTGGCGGAGAAAGGCGGCTGCAAAGGAGGGCCAGAGCGTCAGCGGCCTTGGTAGCAAAAGGGGAAGGGGGGTGGCGCTCCGATTGCATTATTGGGGTGGGGGCGCTGATGGTGGCTGGCTACTTACTGGCTCCCTTTCTCGCCTGGAGGAGGAGATTGCATTGCAGTGTTGTTAGGTGGAGTTTTGCAGCGGAGACGCGCTTGGCTGGGTAGGAGAAGCGGTCGTAGCGGCGGTACTGCTGCGCGGGGCGGACGGGGGCAGACCTCAGAGCTCGAAGGGAGCTCCTGCACTAGTAATAATAACAATAGGAAGAGAATGAGACATAGGACGGAGAGCTCGAGAACTTTATAATCTTTGGTCTAGCCGGATATTGGCTGTGTTCGCACGACACAATGAGCCACAGACTAGACATTCATTTTAGCCTAGTGGGCCATATCAATGCCGCCATGTTCCTCTTTCTTCGTCTCTCTAGCGGTGGTGCAAACAAGCCAAAAGGCCACGAGGCGAAAAGACTCAGATACTTTCGCAGGTTTGGAGGTGGGAATAAACAAGAGCGCGCGAGGCTGTGGGATCACGAGACTGAAGTTGGGACGCGGTTCCTTCGCGCGAAATTTCGAAAGAGCACCCAGTCATTTCATGTACAGAGAAAGTATGGACTTGCTGCAGGTAAAATCAAATATACAAGCAGGGCCTAATTGTAGCGTTGATGCCGTAGAAATTGGGTTTCCCCTGTGATGCTTGCATAGCCCAGACCTGTGCATGTACTTACTTGGAAGTAAATGTCATGACTATTCAATAGGGCCCAAGTAAATATGCATAACATTGCAAAATTAATTATCATGGTTAATTTTCTATATTGGTTCATTTCCCTCCATATTCTTTTAAACCCTTTTTAAAACAAAAACAGTGGATAGACACAACAAGGTTTTGGAATAAGTTTCATATACTTCAGTCTGATCAGTTGCAAGCTTCTGCAAAGCAGCACCTTTGTCACTTTTGTAGTGCAGATCAACAGTGAGGTAAGCGAGCAGTCACCCAGGTAGGATGGAAGCACACGTCTGAAGAGAAGCATTGATGACTGGAAGGCGTTTGTGACATTTTGACAATTAGGTGGCCTTACAAATCTAGTAGTAGTAGCAGTAGTAGTACGCAAAAACAGGAACCTGTAGAACATCTACTTTAAAAATTAAGCAGATATCTCAATTTCTACTCTTTTAAAAAAAATACTTCATTCTATCACATTTCCCACACTTTTAAGAATTTAAGAACTGTGAAAATGTTTGTCTCCTCTCCTTTGCTTTCCAAGTTACACGTATTACAAATGTTGTTCATTCTGCCTTTTTCCTCCCGCTCTGGGACTGGTTTCTGGTCAAAGACAGATTGGCACCAAGGGTTCCCCAAGGGAGGATCAGCTGGTACTAGAGTCGCAACAGTCTTCTGGGGCTCTATTTCCCACACAGAAAATGAGGCAGTCTTGTGTTCCTTTGAGACTTGAACTAGTTGTGTAGTTGTTTAGCCCTGTCAGCAATTTATGTCTCATTGGTTCATTTTCTTCCTTTGCACAGACTGAATATGCACATGTAAACTGGAAACCACAAAAGCAAGCCATGTGAGTGTTCAAAGGATACAAGTGGGAACTGCAATAAAATGTTGCTGTCCAGTACTCTTTTATGACTGGTTGGCTGCTCTCTTGATTACACCATTGTATTTTCCGTTCACTCATGTTTTCCATTTCTCCCTCCATCAGCATTTGTTGGGTGTAGTCCTCATTGGACTGCCTTTCAGGAGACAGGACAGAGATCCTATCTGCAGAGGATTTTCCCCTGTTTTTTAAAGTTTATCCTGTACCTTTGCAAACGTTCCCTGAACCATGCTGATATTTCCTTCTTGTACATGGATGGGGTTGTTTTAGCTATATAAGGAGAAGCACTCAAGAGAATTGATTTATATAAAGAGAGTAATACTTGTTCAGTGCTGTCTAGATAGCTGGTTCATGCAGAAGGGACATAATAAAGTGCATATATATCCCAAGTCAGTCCAGGAAGAGATCATAAAAATATACCTTTATATACTCACCTTATTCATAAACCATTGATGCCTACGCTGAACATTTTAATGACAGCTGGGTTCCCAAACATACATTACTATTTGGCAAGCCACTGTTTAATTCATATTAGAAATATTTGTGATATGCAAAATTTGCAGTGAAATATGTGGATCACTAACTGACCTTTGTCTAGTGCAATCTAACCAGGATAGATGCAGATGGTGCAGACCCCTGTTCTGAATACTTTGGATAACTAGTTCTCCTTTGTCTCATTTGTGCAAGTGTCCTTGGTTTCTGTTTTCTTTCAGTGTGTTTCAACTAGCTAGTGTACTAAGATGTTTTATATAATGTGTGAGCATGTTAAAATAAAAGCTCATATCCTTTAAACCATTGTATGAGCTGATGTTTTCTAGAATTAATAGCAGCTATTCCACACTTAAGTGTAATAGAGTACATAAACTGTTCTGTACATACTGATCCTTGCTAAAAGATCTCTGCATTCTTACATATATCTTAGCAAATATGACATGAATTTAGGTATGTAGAGGGGTGCATATACCAATAGAAGGACACAAGGATGGAAGGTACAAGCAAAATTCTCTTAATATTTCAGCTTATAGATGTTAATTAATTAACCAAGTTATAAGTATAAATCCTGGAGTGTATGACTGATGCCTCATTTGAATCAGATACTTGACAGTTCAGACTTAGGACTAAACACGTGGAATGACCAATTCATGAAGCCTTTGAATTTCAGCCTCTGCACTGAAGTGTTATCTCAAATCAGGGAATGTTATCTTTAAAGACAAAGGATACAAGAAGAAACAAAAAAAAAAACAACCCTCTCAGTTTATCTTACCCAGGCATTTTTGGAATCTTCCCAAATTTTGTATATTAGGATGATGATGATATACACAATGATAGCACAATATAAATTGGCATGGTGTTGATTTTGTGAGATGAAAAGATGCTCCTGGAATTACAGTTATATTGTAGAAAGACCCAAACAGGTTTATCAATGTGTTTTTCTCCCCTCTAATTCTGGTCTGCATGTTAAGCCCATTTGTGGCATACAATGGGAAAAGGAGTTGCTGGGTGCAGACACTGAATTGTTTTGCTGGCAGTAATGTAAAGAGCAATGACTTATGGAAGGAATGACTTGTGTGTTCTGTAAGACTTGAATAAAACTTCATGGTTCACAAAGTGTTTTCTTTTGAATAGAGAAAAATGCCACTGAAATCTAAAGAGGCTCTTGGCTTTGCAGTCATACATGTCCAGTAAACTGGAGTGGAAAACAGAATTATATTAGATTTTGCAGTTATAGTATAATAACTTTGACTGCAATTGGAAAAGTTAGGAGAATTCAAGCTTATCCTTTACTAAAACTAAGCCTGAGGGTATAATATTTGAAACCTAGGCCCATTTAGCAATAGGTCCTCAAAAGATTTCTTGTAAATCATCATCTTCGATACAACCATATTCATGGAAGGTATCATACTGATATTTCTAGAGAGTCATTTCTTGCTGTAGCAGCATCCTACTTGAGCAGTAGAGCAGCTTTTCATGGGAAGCAAGTCCAAAATACTTCATGCAAATTGCTCTATACATTACTACCAGCAAGACAGTTCAAGCATATAGACCTAGAAACGAGATAGAAACATGGAAACATTGTACAGCCATTGTACATGTCATATCCATGTCAGTAAGGTTTACTCCTTAAGAACACAATCTGTGGCCCTAGGGCTGAATATAGTCCCCAGAAGCTTTGGGTATGGCCTTCAGAGAGTTCCAAAACTTTTTACTAAATTGTAATTTTCAATAATAAAGAAGAACACTACCGAATACATTACTAAATCAAATCAATTTTATTTAAATATAGATATGGAATGGATAGAATCTCATGTAGAGTTCAACTCCTTTTAACATGATAGACATTAGCTTCTTCTGGACTATCTTTTTCAACTTCCCAGTCTAGTCTACAGTTCTGGCCTTTTTGGCAGTATCCCTTTCAAATAGAAGCCAGGTGTAGTCCTCCTTAACATCTTGAGATCAGCTGGGCACTTCTGTGTGCTGGAGCAAATAATTTATGTATTTT